TCCTCAAAACAAGCCTCCCTGCTTTGAAGACACTTACTCCATCATTCTCGATACTTTCTGAAGCAGTTCTCCACATCTACTTTCATTTCTCTAGCATTGTTTTCATGGATGCCTCCGTATGGGGAGTCAGTTCAAAACACTGACCTTTCGTGGTCATTTTGATTTTGAGGAAGAGCCAGAACTAAGCATGATGTAACATCTGGTGATAAGGTGGGAGGAGGACACACTGTGATGGTTTTAGGGTCCTGTCTGTTTTTGGATGGCACTTGGTAGTGACATTCACTGTATTTTCGATAACACTTCCTAAAAACATAAACAAGGACTACCAGAAATGCTTCAGAAAGTATCAAGCATGATGGGACAAGTGTGTTTGGATCCATGCAGAGATTTTTCTTTTCTTTTTTAGGGGGATTAATGAAAATCTTTTGCTCTAATAAGTGTTTGTAACTTAAGCATTTACTTTACTTTTCAATCACTCCTTGTGTCTTTGGAGAGGACATGCAATGTTTGTGTTTCCCTCTTGTGTTCATATAAGGTGGCTCGAATAAACTGAACTCTTCCCAGACAACCCAATTTGTTTCATTAGCACCCATCTTCCCTGTGAGTGAATTTCATCTATGCTCACATGATTTGCTATGATTGGAAATCCAAGCAGCTGCAGTGAGATGAAGTCCACATTTATTATTGCCAGTGCTATGACGCTGTCATCACTGCCGTGGCCAGAAGTGTGATATAAATGTCCCTGGCTGCAGGGATGCTCTTCTGTTGCTATTGATGGAATCAAACAGTATTCGGCATCTCTCAGACGTCCTACAGTTCTCTTTCAACTCTGCCCCTCCTCAAAGCACTTGTGCAAATATTGGCTTACAGAATTTATGAATTTAGGGGTCAATGTCTCTTTTTTGTCTAGACCACTATACTATTCAGGGAAGCGGAATGATAGAGTCAGAGAGAGAGAGGCTGACTAACTATAAAGAATTGGCTCACATCATAATGGAATATGATTAAATCCCATCATATGACATCTGTAAACTGACGGCCGAGGGCAAGTGGTAGAATTCCAGTCTGAGTCTGAAAGTCTGAGAACAAAGGAGCCAAGCGATATCTATCCTTGTCCAAGAGCAGAAGAAAACAGATGTTTCAGCACAAGTAGAAAGGCAGTGAGCAAAAGGGATCAGAATCCTCCTCCACTTTGTTTTATTCAGTGCTTTGGTGGAAAGAAGATGCCTACGCAAATTGAGCAGGGAAATCTACTGAATCTACTGATACAAATGCAAATCCAGAAAGGGCTCACAGACACACCCAGGAATTATATTTCATCTGAGTGCTCCCTGGCTCAGTCAGTAAGATGTGTGCAATCGCCAGCACGCTCACTGAGAGCACTGCATGGCAAATTATCAATAACATCAGTTGCATCGTTATTTCAGGAGACACTTTCAAATCCACCTTGACTAGGTAGACATGTATTTTTAATCATTTTTTTTTTCTCTAGTAGAAAACACTACCTGTACCCTCCAAAACACGAAGAAGCTCGTCTCTCTTTTGTGGGTGACTGTCTCTCCTAATCTGCTATAAATTCCTGGATTTATTCATAAATCTCTGCCATCACCTCCATACAGCATGTTTTTTTGTTGTTGTTGTTTTTAGCTAAAAGACTTAATAAATCTTATTGAGACTCTGCTATGCACAAAATAATGTACCAAGCACTTTCTGTGCATTACCGTATTAAACCTCACAGTGCCCTGTTGTAAGGCTTGGATACGGTATGCCCTGCAGTGATCACGTGTTAGGGGGCGTGGCATCCAGTGTAACAGCCCTCTGAGACGTAGGGATAGCCCTCAACTCTGCCTCCTGGCTGCCATGCGGTGAACAGCTCTGCTCCTCCTTGCTCTTCCCCCCATGATACTTGGGTTTCTCCAAACACGGGAGCGTGCAAAATATGTATGTAAATTGCTGAAACTGTGAGCCCCACTACATCTCTCTTCTCAGAGTTGACTCTCTCAGGCATTTCGTCCTAACAATGGAGAGCTGACTGACACAGAAAATTGACACCAGGGATGTAGTTGTTGGCACGACTATAGTTGACCATATGTTCAGAAGAATTTGAAGTTGGTTTACAGAAGTTTGGAAAGGCTTGAAAGGGGGGTAAAAAAACCCCAAAATGCTGTAAGCAGAGTTTAAAGGGTAATTCTAGTGTGAGCTAGGAGGACCAGAATGCTGATAAGAATGTGGGTGGTAAAACTGCACTTATGATGCTTCACATGGGAATGACAATTATTGGGAATGGTATTAAATGTCATACCTGTTACATTCTGGCAAAGAATTTACGTACATTTTATGTACACCTTGAACTTTGTGGGATGCTAAATTTAAATGTTACAGATTAGTTCAATGGAGAAAGAAATTTATTTTACTTTATTTTATTTTATTTGGTACTGGGAATTGAACTCAGGACCTTGCTCTTGCCAGGCAGGAGCTTGTGCTGCTAGGCTATATCCCTGGTCCAGGAGGAAGAAATTTAAAGACCTACAGAGTACTGAGGATGAGACATGTATATCACTGGGTGTTTTCAAGCAGATTTATATTGAGAGTTGCGAGCAAAAGGGAAATTAGAAGACTGGAAAACACATGTTGGTTAGAAAAGAAGCACAAGTAAAGTTCAGGCCAAGAAAAGTGTAGTTGCTGCAGAGATTAGCATAATTACAAAGAAATCAATTACTTGCACTGAGACAATAGAAGAGTTATCTTGAGGATATCTAAGAAATCACCAAGGCCTCACCCATTGTAGGCTCAAAGATATAAAAACGTAAGCCTTTAATTGGAAAAGAAAGCCTCAGGATCCTTTTCTTGAGCAGAGTGCCCTAGGGAATTAGTTGCTGGGGGTTTATTTCACTGTGCTAAGCCATCCAGGCCCAAAGAAGCTGCTGGAGCTGCGTTGCCACTCAAGCAAGTGGAAGGCATGGAGTTTATACAGCTGGTGCTGATTATACATGCAGGCATGCATAATGTGAGAGTTGCAGGTTCAGGGGTGCTTCCACCAAGATTGCATAGGGAGGCCTGAGAGAGCAGATGACGTGTAACACGGTCAGAGTGCCTGTACGCAGCCCCTGAGAGAGTGATGTGTGAAGCAGTGAGAGTGAAGCTGAGGATACAATGGACCTGGCAGGAAGTTGGAGTGCCACAAGCATAGAACACCTGATGAGTAACTTTGTAGGCAGTGAGCCAAGGAAGGCCAAGAGAGAAGTCATATGGGCTGGACTCAGCAGTGCCATAGGGATGGGCTGTCCAAGCATCTTGGGTCTCACATCTCACCACTGTGTGTTCCAGGAGCCAGGCAGAAGGCTAGAATACATAATGTTTACCCCTGCCATAATATTTGCTTTGGTTTTGGCTCTGCTTTCTGCACTTCTAGCCCTCCCTTTCAGACAATGACTTCTGGAGATGAACTAAATGCATTTTGCTTTATAACATGGACACAAAACTTCAGTAAAATGTTATATTTTGGGTATGGCATGTAGCAGAAGGCTCACACACTGGGATTTTGGATCTCAGTCCAGCGCTGTTCAGAGCTGGTGGGTTCTCTCGCTACTATGATGTGAGCATCTTTCTTCCCCCTGTCCTTCTGCCATGGTTCTCCTTTGCACAGAGATAAAGCAATGGAAATAGCTCATCATACTCCAAAACCATAAGCCAAAATAAGGTTTCCTCTAACTTGATTTTCTCAAGTATTTTGTCACAGCAATGAAAAGCTGATGAATGCACTCAATTCTATCTTCTCGTGTCTAGCATTGAGGACACTGAGATGCATAATAATGCCTAAATAACTTGTACATGCTCACCTACTTGTAAATTAAATAATCTTCAACCAGCACAGCTGAGATCTCAAGCCCAGGACATCTGTCTATCTTTGGGATTCCATGTTCCTGACCACTACCTTATGTTATGTCCCCAAATAAGAGATTCATGCAATAGCTCATCGAAACCTATAGACCATCTGTGCTACCTAAATAAAATTAACGAGCTTTGTATATTCTGACTTCATGATTTTATGATGTTCACATTAAATATGTTCCTTACCTTTTGGAAACTACCACTGTCTAGTTCATACCACCAAAATTATGGCAAGGGCATATACTATTTTTTTCTTCAAATATTATATATTTTGACTCAATAAATAATACTCCAAACTCTATAACATAAAACAAACCACAGAGTTAAAAAAACGTATTATAGTGATAGTTATGTTTTTTATTCCAAATGAAGTAAATTTATTTAATAAAAAGAACATTTTTCCAATTCAATATTCACTGAAGAAAAACTGACAATAAAAATAGCAGGAATGTAATACAGATGCTAATCTTCACTTTATACTGTTCTAAGATTGCTTTTTGTGTGATTTTAAAGTCCACAAAGGTGAAATTCAATTTTTTTAAATTTCTGAAGCAAAAGATCCCACTCGATAGTTACCTTAAGGATGTTTTGATTCAGATGATAAAATAATAACTCGTAAGTGAATAGGACCAGATTTTAGAAGTGTTGCTGATGTCATTAACTATTAACTATTGTTAACCCATAATAATAGTTGAAATTGTCACAATTTATAGGAATAGATATGCTTCTACAGTCTTATTTAACTTAAATACTTTATGAATTTTTTATATTAATGGCACGTTAGTCAATCAAGTAGGTACAACGCTAAATATTTCCATAGACAATAACTGTTAGTCACAGTGTAGACTAACTTTTTAAGGAGTCAAGTTATTCCTGGGTTGCAACTTACTGTTCTATAATAAATACAGTTTCAGTGATCTAAAATAGTTAACATGCTTCCCAACTTCAGATTGCCATGGGAAATGTTAAAAGAGGAAAAAAATCTTGTCTTTGGAGACACTGTTAGAAGACATGTTCATCCAATTACAACACACACTTATATTTAGAGAAATAAAAACCCTGAATATTCCCAAAATCAATTAAAATGTGCCATATCCCCTACAGAGTCTTCACTTACTAGGCAACTGCAAACCACCAATAACACAGCAAGCCGGCTCGTAAGTGCTAGAAGATTCTGGGAGTTGTGGCCCAGAGGAAACGTTGACCAATAGGTTACAGGAACTGGATTCAGAGATCTGGCATTGGTGTTGGCTTGATTCATATTCCAGATTCTGGTCACTCTGAGACACAGAAGTCTTCAGAGGACAGCACTGTGCGATGTGGGAACGCTGGGCTCCAAAACTCACTTGCTGACTGCTTCCTGAGTGACAAGACTGCGAAACATTCTCTGACACTGCCCGGGAACTTCTTGATTGGCATGACGTCTTTTCAGAAGGTTCGGAATTGGAACGAGTTGTTTGGACAACCCGGGAGAGACAGGAACTTTCCACACGTGTATCCTCTGAGAGGTGGTCCTGCTCACGACCAGTCAGTTGGCAGCTGGTGGTTTCATTGCGGGCTTCTTGAAAGTTGTCCAGGAGCCAAGTTCTTCTGTGGCAAGTGCTGGGCAAACAGATTCCATCTCCACAGCTTGTCAGATTGGAGCCATGCACGATGGCAGAGAGCAGTGGTGGGTTATAGGAGCTCCTGAGTGATTGGCAGTAGCTATGAGGCATATTGCTAAAACCCTGACATTGGCCAAAAGGACCAAATTTGAAGATTAAATTCTTTGCTGGGGAGATTATATACTACTCAGACAACTGGGTGGTGGCAGTTTTTTCAAGACTGCTTTGCATCTTCTTGCTGGAGCTAATTTGGAGGATAACCTCTCATTAACACTTGGTTTAGCTATATATGAAATTGTCTTATTAACAAAGATGCGAGTCCATTTAGAATCTTCAAAATGGCTTTCATGTGAGCTCCAAGGGATGACTCATTAGGAGGAGTTTGTCAAACAGGAGTCCCAACATGTCATCCAAGCTAACATTTTTCTTTCTTTAGCCATCATGACTTTGTATTTTGGTAGGCAGACAAGAAATGTATGTGGAAATAACCAACTGAATACTGATTTGTATTTGGTCCTGGGTATGGGAAATGTCAAACTGGCAGATGTAGGACAGTGTTCAAGATGTTTGTAGTTAGAAGTGAATCCACCTGTGCCAACCTTTAGATCTCGGTCTCTCCTGTTGGTTGGGACAGGAGAAAGTTTGCAATTGATTTCTTCTTACTGTTCAGAGCATTAAATGTGGTCATTACCCAAGCACACCACTCTCCTTGTTTCTGATCTCTTGCCCCCTAAACTCCTGGAAGTTCTCTCTATGAAGACTTTTCCCCCTTTCCCGTGCAGAGGTTATTGCTTCTTCCTCTGAATTACCAATATATTTTTAGTGGAAAGTAGGAAAGTTTTACTTTTATCTTTATTTATATGCATTGAATAAGATTTCACAATGAAGTCACAGTAATGTTGAAATAAGGGAAATGAAAAAATTTATGAAAATTATGTAAACATGAAATGTGTTCCTCACAATGTACTCCGTGGAAATAGAACACAACATGGTTTTCCCATTGTAATTTTTAAACTGACCCACTTGTACCTATTTATGGAGTACAGTGTGACCATTTGACACATGTATACATTGTACAATGATCAAACTAGAATAATTAGTATTTCCATATCCTCAAATATTTATCATTTCTCTGTGCTAGAAAACTGAAGTCCCTGCATCAATCATAAACTGTTATAAACTGTACTTACCCTACAGTGCTATAGAAGAGCAGAACTCATTGTAAATCTTCTCTCCATATCCTTCCCATCTCTGCTGACATATATGCCAGTGACTTTTAATCGTTTTTTTTTGTTGTTGTGACTCTGCTCTATGCCAAGTTGTGCGCTGATTTGCTTCTGCACTTTGCAAAACACAAACTTCTTTCATGAAGCAAACTTGTTTCTGAAATTCTTTTCATGTTTGGTTGTTGTATGTGTTGTTGTTTGGCTGTAAAGGATCAACTCCTACCTTTTTTGCGTTAGATGCTATACTTAGCAGGTTTACACACAAAGCACAGAATCTACCAGCAAGATTTCTATCACACATTCCACAATTGACCTTGTTCCTCTTAAGACAATGAAACAGCACAGAAGTACATTCTTAGCAGTGTCCTAGTCTTTGGTTTTCAAGTCTGAAGAAGCATAAGAACTTCCAAGAACTCTTGTGAAATATAATCCTTGATATGCGAAGAGCTAGAGGTGTTCTAGTGCATGAAAGAGGACTCATCTGAATACTTTCAACCTGATTCTCTACATACCCAACTTTACACAGTACCTTTACAACATGTCACTCTTCCATGTCTGAACATCTCATTATTCTGTTCATGTACATCCTGAAATAATCTTTTCAATTCTTTTAGCTTTAGTATTTGTATTTACTTCTGTACAGGGACCGCCATTGTAGTTTTTGACTCTCCTCAAAGGGTCTTAATGGATTCTTCTTGCTTAGTTTACAATTAGGACTTAAATTGTTCTCAGTCACTGTCCTTAAAAAGATTCTATCCTCGGTATCTTAACATTTTCCTTCACAGAGCTTACAATCATTTTTTTTCATATTATGTTTTTGCCACTACCCTATAAATACCAGAAAGTTAAGAAATAGATTTTTCTCACTACCATGTTCCCAACCATGATCATAGTGCCTACCTACTACATAATCTGATCTTCATAAATGTACTTTGAAAAATTACTGAATAGAAGGTGCTAAATGAAAATGTATTCAAATTATAACTAAATGTCTGAAACAATATAGTTTGGGTATCTCGATAGACCCAAAATGTTCATGAATTGGCAAGGATAGTGAGTTTTAAAAAAGATAACTATGCCTATGTTTTAGCTCTGTCTTTCTGAAATGAGAATAAAATAGTTAAGAAATCTTCACTAATAACACAGCGCAGGCTGAGTCACCTATTTTAAATAACGTTTGATTTTTAAGTCAACATGTTTTTAAAAGCTTTTATGGTGAAAAGGTCACTATTTCTTACTGCAAGAGCAAGTTTTTTGTTGCCAAGTTGTGTGGGCAAAGATGGATGCCCCATGGGTGGAAATCACACCCTTGCTTCCAGCAGAATGCTCACTTATTAACTCACAATGTACAATACATTACTACAGGGCTGTGCACTTCCTAAGTTTCAAATGTGGTGATGTTGGATCTGTCATTTGAGTTCTTTTCTCTCGGGTATGCAGCATCAACATATATTCTGTTTGATTGAGTGCAGAATTAATAGATGTTTCAACATGTAATTTCCATTTAACGAGTACATAAAGATTTCAGTCATTGTTGGATTTATAGAGGGAGTTACCTGACTTCTTACTACGAAATGACGTAGGCTAAGCAAATGCTCACCTTGGAATTGTTTCCATACAGCTTACTAAAAAGTAAGGATTAGCTTTGTAGGTACTTGGATGATGATAATTACGTAGTCTATCTCTTCAGATTCTTGAGAAAGAGGTATAACCAGCTACTTAATTGCATATGGTGACCGGATATTGCTACTACGTGGTTGAACAAAATGCCTGGTTTCGCTTAATCTTGAAGCGCCCAAGTAATTGCAGATGTAGTGGCACCTCAAGACCAGCAGAGGGCAGAATGTATACATTCCTTGTCGGGAGGCAAGCAAGTCTAAGGATTCTCGAGTTCGAACGCTCAGGTTCTGAGGCAAGCTCTACAAACGCAAACCGGAGCTTTCAACAGTTGCTTTCAGCTTTAATTTTCACTCCAAAAATTAAAATAATAAGAATTCAAACTTCATTAGATTGTATTGTAGGTGGTCTGTCACATACTGAATGATACATAAAAGTAGCTATTATTTCTGGTCTGGTTAAGGATCTCCGTTGCAGACGAAGATATTACTCATCGCATCACTTAATAATTTATAACCTAAGAGTATAAGAGAAAATCGACAAACTGCATTTTTTGGGCTTAAAGTTATGCTGTCAGTGCCTGATTTTTCACATGCTAATCTTTTTCGAAGGTCGAATTTAATTGCCGTGAAAGATGGGGCGTAGCTCGTCTCCATCTCTCAAGGATTCGGCACTTGATAGCTGTGAGTTTGAACAATTTATATTGGTTTTACACGGATTAAATAGCCGTGCTAAACTTCTGATCACTTTTTCTGTCACATACAGGTAAAAGTAAAAAAAATAAAATAATAGAATCATGCTTAAATCACGTAGTTCAACCCAGGGCTCCTATAATTTTTTTCTTCCTGCTTGTCTCGGTTTTATTCAGCAGTAAAACAAATGACCTAAGTTAAGGTAAGCCCGTCCATCTTTGGCAAGCAAGAAGTTATTCATATATCAACTTTCTGTTGCAATGTAGGAATGCAGTGCCAAAGAGGGAGAGACATGGTTTCTAGTCCTGCTAGTTCTGTAGTTCATGGCATGAGTGGGAATGTGTCATTCTATGTCTATGGATTTTCTGTACGCAAATGCTCATCAACCAAGGAATGGATAAAACCGATGTGGTCTTTTTATACAATGGAATACTACTCAGTCATAGAGAAGGATAAACTTGAGACATTTGTAGGTAAATGGTGGCAGTTTAAGACCACACTCTTAAATAAATCAGACTCATGTGTGCAAACGTTGTATTGTCTCTCTGGTGTGAGAAACCAAAGGAGTAAGTAAAGAGCAAAATGTGCAATAGATACTGTAAAATGGGAAGAAACTGTTCAAAAGGAAAGAAGAACTAGCGTGGGAGGAGGGGGAAAGGAAGGAAAGGAAAAGCAGAAAAAAAAGACAACAACAGGGTTTGGGGATTTAGCTCAGCGGCAAAGCGCCTGCTTGGCAAGCGCAACGTCATGAGTTCGGTTCCTGGTACCGGAGAAAAACAAACAAAAAACAACAACAACAACAACAAAAAAGACAACAACAAAAATGCAAGAGTGTTATATTACCAGCTTCTAAGAAAGGTGTGTGCTAATATTGTTTGGAGATTTTTTTATGCCCATATCTTGTACTCTGAGTAACTACTTTGAAGGTAACAATATATACAGCATCAATTATTGTTATCCTCCTGTTATTTTGTTGTGAAATTTTGTTTTATTTCTTTTCCGTAAAATAAAAAAAATTTAAAAAAGATGGCAGGCTCTCTAAGGTCCTTCTAGGCTGTCATATTCTGTGCCTTTCTGTCAGAATCTTGATGCCTTAAAGTTGAAAAAGACATCCAATGGCATCATTTTACCTACTGAATGAAATCCTTTGTCTTTCTGTGTATGTCATTCTGTGAGGTAAGTTGGGTATCACACAACCTTTCTCAGTCCCTAATGGGTACAGTAATAATGCTCATTGGTTTGAGTACAGAAGGAATCTGTTGCCAAGTTTTCTCTGTTTTAACAATAAAAGCATCCATTAGCATATAAAATTAAAAGTAAGCACAGCACGTCTCCTCTGACACTACCTCTACATCACTTCTCTTCTTGGTTTTGCTTTTTTATTTGTTTGTATTGTTTTGTTTTGTTTTTCTTCTGGTACCAGGAATCAAACTCATGACCTTGCGCTTGCCAGGCAGGCGCTGTGCTGCTGAGCTAAATCCCCAGCCCCTCACTTCTCTTCTTGGGATAATCCTTGTTCATTTATGAATCAATTTGATTCAAATAGCCAAAAAGGACAAAAAAGAAAAAGAAAGACAAAAATATAAAGAAAAGAATGAAAAGAAGAAGAACAAACAGATGTTAGAGGACTATAGATTTTCCATGCAGCTCATAATGATGAGTAATTGGGAAAAAGAATGAAAACAGTGACATCTTGACTGCTTGAGCTTATAATGAATGTTTTCCAACCCTTGGTTCCATTATGTTTTGAATGGTAAAGTATCATGGTTTATTACAGTAATTACAGAGCTGTTTTTGTGTCTTATCCTGGATGCACTTACACTTGCCTGTCTCTGATATTAGTTTTAAAAGGAACCATTTTTCTGCCTTTATGCGATCCAGAAATGTAAATTTGTCTTTGAGTTATCTTACTTCCTTCAGCACTGCCTTTTTCTAATACGCGAAATCAAGTTTGACAATAGTGACCAGAACATTTGTGGCAATGAGCTTGTCTAAAAAGAGCCCACCTAGCAAAATTGAATGTATGTTTGATATCATTTTGACATGATGTAACTGTTTCATTGACTTATTTATGAGATTTACTATTTGCAAGATTTTATCATTCTGAATTTTTGCATTAAAATGGCAAAATGAGTGAACTACTAATTAAAATAGTACTTGCAATGAAATAAAGATGAAAACCAGCAACTATGGAATGAAATAAATTAAGTATATGTAATGCTAAAATTGTGTAGAGAAGCCAGGGATATAGCTCAGCGGCACAAGTGCCTGCCTGGCAAGTGCAAGGTCCTGAGTTCGATTTCCAGTAAAAAAAAAAAAAAAAAAAAAAAAAATGCATAGGGAAGAGCCAACTCTCCTAATTGTGATGTTGGCATAAGAGGGATGAGAAGCCAGATAATATTTCTACAGACTCTGAAAAACATAAGCCATATGACCTTCCTTCCAGAGGCTTGAGACTATATGAGCTTTGGATCTGCATGTGGCATTCATGCAAACTGCAATAGAGATCTTTGGTGGTGATGCTGTGAACTACATGTTGTGGGGAATGTGCCCGAGAGGGGCTGGAGTGAGGACAGTGTGGGCCACAGCCTTTGTGATTATATTAAGGAGGCTTTATTTAGAAGGGAGATTGCTCAAGGTTTGTAAATGAATGTCTAATTCACAAATACATTAACTACCTGTAACAGAAATAATTCAAATTAGGTGAACCAATGGGAAAATGCATTGACTTACATAAATTAAAGCCCAGAAGTAAGATGGGCCAGGATTTGTTCTTCTTCATTTCTCTTGGTTTTGGCCTTTTCAGTGCAAAGGAGTAATTCAATCTGGATGTAGCCTTACACACGAGGCAGAGCATGGAGGCAGAGAGCGCTGCTTAAAGAACCTGCATAAAAGAAGTTTCTCTGTAAAAGGAGCAACTCTCCCACCATTCCTTGCTTCTCATGGGTTTAGGTGAAATACCACATTCAGGCCTAAAGTATCTTACTTTAGTAGGTATATAGGTGCCAGATTATATCCTGAAAACTGGGGGATAATTAAATTCCTTTAAGGTACAGACTATGTACACATGAGAAGAATATACACACAAAATCTAATTCTTATAGGAGGAAGCAAGTGGAAGAAAATAGCTATGAGGGAAATAAAGAATGGAATACCTATCCATTTATATATGTTTTTACCACTTCTACATTTGAAAATGTAGGTGACTGTACTGCCCTTAACAAGAGATTGTAAGGGGTAATCTTACCATAGTCACAGCCAAGCCCAGAATATTAAGAGCTAGAGTCAACCTACTCAACCCAATTTAACCGACTAAACATACTGCCATATGACTGTATGAAAACAGGTGGTCTTATAGGACCAGACAGAAGGTGTTAAACATTATCATGAGAAATAAATCTTAGAAACTGCATTCCTTTTATTATAATAGAATCTGCACTCTTAATTTCTTCCACACCTAAATATTTGTTTCATCCCACTAGCTACAAAAATCAGTTAAAAATCATGGCCTAAAAATTCTAGGATGGCTTACATAAATCTGGAAAGGATTCTCAGAAAAAGTATTTTCACAGTTTTCACATAAAAAACAGCTGGCCCCGCACTTTTTTCTTGGATCAGGCTCAATACTAGTTTAATCAGAATGAAGTGCCTTGCTTAGACTGAAATGATTATTGATAGAAAATTGAAGCATGGATAATCTGTCCAAGCTTTGATTCAGCTTGGCAGAATTTCTCAGGAACTCAACTCTGGGTTGTCAGAAAAGTCTAGCAGCAAGCCCTGTCCTACACCTCAAATATTTTGTTTATAGATAACAAACCACTAGATTTGGAATTTCTGACACACATCGCAAAAAGAAAGTAAACAGGAAGACCTGTGATGTGATATTAATAAATGAGTTTTTTTGAAAAGAAAGACACTGCTTTGGTTTTATTTTAACTTGAGAAGGGAGAAAGCACAAGTAAATAAAAAAAAATAGGTGACTATTCCATAAATATTGTATGAGAGATGAAAATTATTTTACTACTCATGGATTTCTTTCCAATTACCACTTTTCTAGGTGGTGCAATACAGTCTCAGGACAGAGGATAGCCAAAGTTGGCTTGAGGGAGGTAATAGTGTAGGGATCAGGAGCCCTTAACAATCCACCTGCAGAAGTTAGCTCCTCAACTTGATCTGTAACCGAATCTGTCACCAAAAGATTGGCAGCTCCAAGAAGAAAAACGCATTGGGCAGTACAATCTGGATCCAGAGCTCAAGAATCTGACCTCACTGAATCCCATGAGTAGCAGCACCCTGAAGATCCAAAGACGAGGGAGGGGTAGTTGCTAGACTTAAACCACAGAGATTCAGCATAAGTCATTTGTCAGGGTCTGTAGAGAATAGAGGTCTCCAGGCAGGAGAACAGTATTTGGAAAACGCCTGATATCACACGGGCTGTCTAGTGCATGGTAACACGAACATGTGCATCACTCTTTATCAATGAAAAATAAATCACATAAAAACCAAGGAAGACTATGAGCCTTAGGATCTTAAAATCTTAATCCTTCACTCAAGTCTATGTCATGTATAAATATAATTTTTGTGTTGTTTACATTCTTAATACAGCTATCAACTAGTCAGCTACATTTGACCTGCTGGCATAGAACTGAGGACTAATATTTTTGGAGAAACAGTTACATCCCTAATTCTGAGATTTAATTACTAGAAGCCTATGTATTCCAACGAGGTAATTTACCTACCTCTATTTTCAGAAAGAAAATTATTTGAGGTGCCTGAAAATTTGTGCAAATCATGACTTTCATAGGATTTCATGATCTGTCTGTATGTTTGTTCATTAATTAATAATAATCCTTTTAATATTCAACAACCAAATGCTAGAAAATACACAACATATAAAAGCAAATATAGTTGGATATAAAGTCAATAAATTTATTAGATTAAAATTTAAGTTTGTATAGAATTTCAAAAGAAAACCCAACAAAAGAAATTCCTTCACCATTGCAGAGACAAGCTTTATTTTGAATTAGTACCTTAATTACAGTTTTTAAATGAAGTTTGTCAACCAATATTTGGAGTCAGATATAAGTTGAGAAATTAAAAATTAGAGAACAATTAGGGGGTAATTCTTAATGTAAGTAATGAAGACAATAAAGAATAGAGCCAAAAGTATTGATGACATTGGTCAAGAAGCTTAGAAATTTAGTAAGATGATTAAAAGAACCGAGAGCCACAGGTAGGTCTATAACAAGATTGGAAGGTTCTAGAAGCTAAGTAAGATGGGCGACAGAATCCAGATCCATAACCAAAGGAAGGGAAGGCACGGACTCCGTAACCCAGCGGTCTGAAGCCACTGGAGCCACAGCCTGAAGAGTAGCAACCCCTTGACCCGTAGCCCAGGGAGTGGCAGCTGCTGGACCCAAAGCCCAGAGATCCGGAGTAAGTTGTCTGGCAGGGACTGCAGAACTTGGAGGGCCTGGGGCGGTAGCAGGACGTCTGGCAGGGGCTGGACACCACACAGGACCTCTGGCAGCTGCTGGGCTCATAGAAGTTCTCCTGACAG